AGGGGCGGTGGGCTCTAGCGCAGGCGCAGCGGCAGACTCGCGCGGGCGCTTCGCGGGGCGCGGCGGCGGCGCCGACCTCTCCTCCCTGACCGACCGCGCGTACGCCACCGCCGCCTCCACCGCCGTGCCGAAAGTGCCGATGTGTCTAGGCCTACCGTCCACCTTGCGCTGCGCTCGGAAGCCGCCAGAATTCTTCGATACGCCCCTGTACCCGGTGCTGCTGCTGCTGGAGAGGTGCAAGCGCATGCCCTCCGCCTCCGCCACCACCACCACTGCCGGCGCGTGAAGCGTGCAGAACCACGTCTTGCGCCCCGCCTCCGCCTCGCTCCTGAAGCCGGCGCACGCCAGGCAAGCCCAGCGCGAGCAGCCACCGGCGTCGCACCCGACGGAGGACGCCATCACCTCGCCCGCCTCGTCGTCGAGCAAAGTGCCGCACTCGCAGCAAATGGTGGCGGAGGTGGCGGAGCCGGCGGGGGCGGCGGGGGCGGCGGGGGCGGCGGGGGCGGCGGGGGCGGCGGGGGCGGCGGGGGCGGCGGGGGCGGCGGGGGCGGCGGTCTGGAAGGCGGGCGGCGCGGGTGGCGGCGCGGGTGGCGCGGGTGGCGCGGGCGGCGCGGGCGGCGGCGCGGGCTGCACGGGCGGCGCGAGGGGCGGAGCGCTCGAGTCGGAGAGCGCCTGACAGAACAAGACCACGACAGGTCAGAAGTGAGGCGGCAAGGGCCCACAATGTCAGCCCCGCCTCCAGCGCCTTGATCAGCTCGATACTCGAGCGGTAGTGGCGGGCGGGCTCGGCGAGGCGTAAGGCGTAGTATTCGCCCGCCAAGGTGCCCTGAGTAGCCCGCGGCCTCCAGTGTACCGCCTGCAGAGAAGGAGGAAAGAGAATGCAAACAATCCCCAAGTACCGACCACCTCCCCGCCGCTCGTCCTCACCCACTGGCCATCGACGTGCACCGTCGCCTCGGGCGAGCCCTCGTTCTTTCAAGCGCGCCGCCACCGCCAGCAGCTTTGCGAGAAGCGCCGCCTCCGCCGCCCCGAGCTCCGGCGACTGCAGCCTGCCCTGCGACCCGAGCGCGGCAGCCGCCATGACCTCCGGGTCGAACGGGCGCTTCTCGCAGCGAGCCCGCTTGGCCGGCAGCGTGAAGTCGTGCGGCCCGACGTGGCCTGCCGGCAGAATGCAGCCAAAGGCGCCGCCGCACTCGTGCGTGTTGCCGCAGAGCAGGACCGCGGCCTCGGCGGGCGCGTGGGGCGGCGCGCTCTCGGCGGCGGCGGCGGAGGAGGAGGAGGAGGAGGAGGAGAGGGAGGCCGAGGACGGAGGGCCACGCGCCGCATCCGAGCGCCGCTTTGGCGGCGGCATTTCCGGCGGCTCGAGCGGGCGCTTCGCCGTGCGGAGCCGCTCCTGAAGCCCTGGCCAGAGCTCGTGCCTCCACTTGCACTTGCCGCCCTTGTGGCAGAGGCCCTGTTGGTACTGGCCGCAGAGCCCGGCAGGCAGCCCGACAAGCTCAGCGTCGGTGAGCCGGCGTGTAGGGACGCTTGGGGGCGCAACAGCCGAACGGTGCTTTGGCGGCGGCCCTTCCGGCGGCTCGTATGGACGCTTCGCCGTGCGGACCCGCTTGTGCGGAGCGTCCGCCGCCCCCGCCGCCAGGGCCGCCGCCGCCGCCTGGTCCGGCT